ATGACATCATAAGCTTACAACATGGAGAGCTTATTTATAGGCTATAGATGACTATTTGCATGTTAAGCATTATCTTGGAAGAGTTATAACTTATAAAAATATAATATGTTAAATTGGTTAATACTTCGGTAAGAAGTGAAGTGGATGGAAGGGTCAAGAAGAGGTTGTTCAAAAGAGTCTACCGCAGGTCAGGGGAAAAAAAGATAGATGCAGATCGGAGGCAGGTGACAACTCGGTGCAGATTCAAGAAGTTGATGAGGAATTAAATGCCACCTGGGAGGTAAATTGATGGGTATATCATTTTGGGGTGGGAAAAAAGCGTTTGCAAGGAAATTTGAAGATTTGGGAAAAAACAAGGTTGTGGAAGTTGAGAATTGAGTTCCCATCTTCTCAGGAGGTGTATGAACCATTTTAATGTCAAGTTTTTCATGTGTATCCTGGAATATCAGGGGCCTGGGGAGAAAAGAGAAGATAAGAGCAATGAGGAGTTTGATTTTAAGGAGGAAGCCAGTTGTTTTGTTTTTGCAGGAGACAAAATTGGGATCTATGAATCAGGCATTATTAAGGAAGTTGGGTGGAAGAAAATTAAAATGGCTTGGTCTCATCCCCTTCAGAAGGAGCAACAGAAGGTTGTTAGTCTTTGGGATGGAAATTGGTTCGAGATGGAGCAACAGTTTTTTTTTTGTTCAGAAGATTCATAACAGTGAAGGGCAAAATTAAGGATAATGAAGAGGAATGATGTTTTGTTAATGTGTACGGTCTTGCAGTTGAATCAGAAAAGGAGAGCTTTTTTGAGGAACTTCTAATTTTCTTAGAACAGATGGAATGTTCTTTATGTGTAGGGGAGACTTTAACTCATATTTGTCCTCGAGGGAGAAGCAAGGGAAATCATAAAACATACATTCAATGAGATTGTTAGGAGATTTTGTTTTTCAGGCTAAGTTAACAGATCTTCCCTTATCTGGAGGGAATTTTACGTGGATCAACAATAAGGATTCCCCCTCAACCGGTTTTTAGTGAATTCCAGATTCTTGAGCATTTAACCAGATGTTGTTTAGATTCTTCTCCCAAAATCGTTATCAGGTCATAATGAGATACTACTAGAAAGGACTGCGGTTAATTGGGGTCTGAAACCGTTCAGGCTTTTTAACTATCTGATGGAAGAATAGGGTTTTTAGGAAATGACGAAATCAGCATTGGAAGAGATGAAAAAAGATAAGAGGAGAAGAGGAATTGCAAACATGTTGAATGAATCGAAGAGAGTAATTAGAAGTTGGACTAATAATAGACATCTCTTGATGCCGGGAAGGATTTTAGAGCTAGAGAAGTCTATTTTTAACATGGAGGCAGATATACAACATGGGTTAAATTCAATATCGTGGGATGCTATTGTGAAGGCAAAGAAGGAATTGTGGGATTTCTATAAAAAAAGAGGAATTAATTTGGTTCCAAAAGTCACGTGAGAAGTGGATTTAAGATGGGGATCGAAATTCCAGATATTTTCATCAGTGTGCATCGAATAGGGGAGGGTAAACGCCCTGAAGGTCCTTAAAGTTAATGGCGAATGGGTCTCTGACCCAGATAAGATTAAGTCTAGTGTTTTCAATTTTTTCAAGGAGGCCTATAATAGGAAGCCAACTGTGGGAGTGATAAAGTGGAAATTGAGTTTGCCAGATTATCGAAAGCGCAAAGTTCTATGGTGGAAAGGAATTTTGCTAAAGAGGAAATTTGGGATTGCATCCTCGAATAGCAACAAGACGCCTGGACCAGATGGACTAAATATGGTTTTTTAAGAGATTTTGGCTAATTTTGAAAGATGAGATCCTAATATTTTTCTCCGGTTTTTATTCAAAGAAGAGGTGGGAGAAAGGAATGAATCATTCATTTATATCATTGATCCCCAAGAAATTGAATCCGGAGTGTTTGGAAGATTATCGGCCTATTAGTCTCGTTGGTGGTCTTTACAAAATTTTGTCGAAGGTTCGTTCAAGAAGATTGAGAACTTGTATCAATGCTCTTATAGGTCCTGCTCAATTTGCATTTGTACCAGGTAGAAAGATTCTTGACTGCTCCTTTATAGCAAATGAGAGGATTGTTTTTTGGAGGAAAAAAGGGTTGGAAGGTGTTGCTTTTAAAGTGAATTTCAGAAGAGCTTACGATTCAATAGATTGGTTAATCTTGTTGAAGGTTATGGAATATATGAGGTTTGGGCAGCGGTGGCTTTCTTGGATTTTACAATGTTTATCTTCAGCTTCAATTTCGATCTTGGTTAACAGCTCTCCGACTAAAAAAGCCAAGGGTGTTCGTTATCACCTCTGTTGTTTAATTTAGTGGGTGAGATGTTAAGTTTGATGTTATCTAAGGTGGTTAAGATGGGCCTTTTCAGTGGGTTTCAGATCGGCAGTCCGAAAAGGGCATTCCCGTTGTCTCATTTGCAATTTGTCGATGATCTATTAATTTTTTGTGGTGCTTCGGAAAGGCAGCTGAAGAATGTGAAAAGAGTATTGACTATTTTTTAATTGTGTTCGGGGATTCAACTAAATTTGTCTAAGAGCAGAATTTTCGGTATTAATGTTGATGAATCATGTATCAAAGTGGGTAGATTCGATTAGATGTTCGGATGGAATCTTTCCAACGGAGTATCTTGGACTTCTCCTTGGTTCGACGAAGAATTTGGTTATTTTGTGGGAACCAATAATCCAGAGATGTTGCCAGAAATTGACAGGTTGGAAAGCAAATACTCTTCCTCTTTTTTTTTTTTGATAAGAATAGGAGGTCTCGTTAGGAACCTCCCTCATAGTTGACTCAGGATGGCAACTAATTGAGGGAGGAAAAGAGCACCTCAGTATATTAATAAAATACTCTTTCTCTTGAAGGGAGGGTTGTGTTGGTGAAGTCGATTTTAATCGCTTTGCCAATTTATTTTATGCCATTGTTTAGAATTCCGAATAAGGTTATGAGGAAACTGAATTCTATTCTGGCAAACTTCTTATGGGGGGTCATCTCAGAAAAATCATATCCATTGGGTGAATTAGCAGACTGTGTGTAAACCTAAAGTTCAAGGGGGTCTGGGTTGGCTCTCCTGGGGAAGTGGGCATGGAAGTTTGTTACGGAAAAGGAGTCTTGGTGGAAGAATTTGGTGTGCTGCAACTATAATTTGGATAATAGATCAATGTTGATGGATAATGTGGTACCCTATAAGTCATCTTGGATTTGGAGGGGAGTTGTTAATAATTGATGGGCGAATGATGCTTTTGGTCACTGTTTTCGGAATCATTTTCAATTATGAGTCAGAAAGGGGAATATTTTTTTGTTTTGGTTTGAAAAGTGGATTTGCAATGTCCCACTTAGATTGAAGTTTCCGAGGTTGTTTTCACTTTCTGTTAATAAAGAAGGAAAAACCTTCGAGTTTGGTTTTTTTAATAAAGGGGGTTGGTGCTGGGATATTCAGTTACGAAGGAATTTATTGGACTGGGAATTAGAGCAGTGGGTAGAGCTTTTGTCGTTATTAAGTAATGCTAGTATTCGGAATGATGCGAATGATCAATGTTTATGGACAGGAAATGGGGAGGGCGTTTATTCGGTAAAATCATGCGTTAAATTACTATCAAGAGGGCCTGTTGGGGATCCGATTTGGTCGAAGTTGGTTTGGATCGGTTATGCTACCCCAAGAGTGGAGGCGTTTGTGACAGGTTTTGCATAAAAAAATGGCTATTAAATATGAACTAATCAAGCATGGTGTTAGTGGGATAGAGAACATTTTATGCCCTCTTTGTGGTTTGCATCAAGAGACGGTTTCTCGCCTATTTTTTTCTTGTTCTATTGCGTGGGGCTAATGGGTGAGTTCCTTAAGGTTGTGGAACTTATCCACGGTCCTTCCAGAGTATCCTAATGTCTTCTTTATCTTCTTGGGGAAGCCTAACTCCAAAGTCTATTATTTGGAATTTTATTCTGCGAGTTGTCTTGTGGTCAGTATGGAAGTGTCGAAATCAAGTGGTTTTCGAGAATGGAAGTCTTGATCTTAAACATTTGTTTTTTATTTCTAGATATAGAGTGGCTGCGTGGTTTTGGACGAAATTTCCTAATTTTCCAATTCTCTTGGATTGCCATGTTGGTGACCCGAAGTTGGTTGATTCAAGTAATCTGTCCATGAAGATAAATCTCTCATCGGTCTCGTGGAGTCCCCTAACCCCGTGTTTCTTCAAAATTAATGTGGATGGGGCAGTGAGAAGTGATTGGAAAAGCAGTGGAATTGGTAAAATCCTTAGAAATGAAGAGAGCAAGCTATTGGGTTCATTTTCGGCATCTACTGGTCCAAGTCCGCCTATGTTAGCTGAGTTGAAGGCTATTCAAGCTGGTTTAGCTTTGTTTGTGGAATCAAAGTGGTGTGATAAGGGTCGGTTAATTATAGAGACTGATTCTGCAATTGCAGTGAAATGGATTAATACTCTGAAAGTGTGTCCTACCGTGTTTTCACAGCTAGTTAAGGAAATTGTCAGTATTGGATTGGAGCATAGTGTTATGATAAGGTTTGTAAAAAGGGTTGTGAATTGGGAGGCTGACGGTCTGGCTAAGCTGGGTTAGGGTAATTGTTTAGTAATTTTTGTTTGGATGATGTGTTTGTTGGGAGGGTTGAGGTTAAGTTGGTGGGTGATGTTTGTAATAGCCTGCTGTTGTATGAGCTGTAATTTCTTTTTGGAATAATATTTTAGACACTATTTTACTCCTTTCAATGTCCGCCAAGGTACTTTTGTACAGCGGCAGTTATGAAGGGGGTTTTAACAAGGCCTTGTTTCTTATCAAAAAAAAATTAACCGAATAAAAACTAAAACACCAAAACTGACCCAGTTACCAAAATTAACTGAGCCTAATTCAGAACTTAACTAAACAATAGAACTGTTTTAACCAGACTGCTTCAGTTAATTTGAGTAACTCTGTTGTAACCAAAAATTGCTCACCCATAGGTGCAATATAATTAAATCAGACTAGCAACAACTTACCATAACTGTTTGACGACCTCTCAAGCATGTAGCTACAATTGACAAGAACCACATAAATAATCGTAATGACACCTTCATCATACAAGGCAGCAGCAACAGTCTACAATGAAGATCTACAAATAATGAGTCGAATCAATTGAGTTTTAAAATAGAAATCAAAGTTAAACCTTGCATACTGGATTCTCTGAAATGAATGCCAAAATTCGAAATGCAGTTGTCAGCTGGGCTATAGAAGAGTCGCGGAGGTTAACACCATCAAAGGACTTCACAGAGATAATGCTTCCAAGATTCTCCATGACATTAATGTCGGAAGCATTAGATGATTCTCCAACAATATTATCAACAACATCTGTTAAATCAGAGACTAGAATGTTGGTTGAGGTAAGGTGAGCGTCTCCTCCAGAAGCCAACACGGCAGCATATCTTAGAAGACCAATAGCTCCATTTTTGTGGTAAACTAAACCAGCATCAATCCACTCCAACAGCCGAGTAGGAGCATCTTTCCTATTGGACCCAGGGGAAGAAGAATGTAAAGCTTTATGAAGTTCCATGGCATGTCCAATCCAAAAGGACATAGATGTTGCAGTTGAATCAGTAACAATGACCTCAACAATCTCAGCAGCTGAGTGTAAAATCGCAAGATTAAGAGGTGAAGCGCCTGCATATCCAGTATGTTGCAAATATAAGGCGATGCATTATTCAAGTCAACAAGAAAACTTTCAACTAGTTTAACCTAACCACAAAATAAATAGTACCACTATTCTTGATGGCAGGTTCTGATTCCTTGACTGAATGCAAAGCTTCAATCAGAACTGAAAACAGCTGACAAAGAAGGGGAAACATAATCGCATTAAAATGAATAAATGAAGGTTAGTCTACCTTGATCTGTTAATAGTAAAACATAGGTATCAAGCAGAAACCAAGTCTCTGTACAACGTAGAATATTAGCATAGAGATTACTTTTCAGTACCTCAGGAAAGAAACTCAGGGCCAATAAAGCTTCACGTCCACAATTGGACCTGCCAAATATATATTAAAAAGAAAAAATTTCAATCAGAACCACCCATGGTGTAGTTCAAGCCCAAGGTTAAAGAAATGGATCAAGTAATTCACCTAGCGAGACCACACAGCTCCCACAATACCCATAAAAATTCCTCAGACTGCGGACTTGCAGAAAGCAAACGATCTATGGCATTAACCTACAATAAAATATTAAAAAATAAGACATGCATAGTCACAAGTTGGTAGTGAAAATATAAATGAAAAAGGGTAAAAGATTATCAACAATTCTTATCAACCAAGAAAAGGAACTAACCACCCTCAAATGTGTCTCAACAATAATTCCAACTTCTTGCGGACTGCATGTAAATCCTTTAGATATTAAAACAGATGCATACCGAAGAGGAACACAATCTTCCTTATTCATAGTATCAACACCCTTCAGAGCATGAATTAGTGTAGCAGTAAGATCAGGCTGATGTAGGAGGAAAACCAACCCTGAAACAGAAGTAACATAGCATCATTCACAACCATCATTTCCTTAATAACACAAAGCCATTTTGCATGCAGAGTAACTAACTCAACCTGAGTGACAAAACAAAAGAGAGAGAATTAAGGATCCCATGGATGACACAATCTCTAAAGAAATGTCGAGAACATCTTCATCTTCAGAATGCAAAATAGTTGTTGACAGCAGTGCAGCTGATAAAGGAAGAAATCCTCTATCCTGCTTCAAATGAGACAATTTCAAGATTAATAATAGAACCACAATTATTTCCTCACATGCCCCCACCTCATCCAAAACGAATACAGAAAATAATAAATTACTTGAAGGGTTGCATTAACCCTCTAAAACTAACAATTATAGGCACTTCATACATCATCGCAATAACTAGAAATGAGAAGAAGAAAAGAGATTTAGAATACCAAGAGGGATCCAATACCAAATAATAGACAAAATTTACCCTCTTCCTTGACTAATAGGTAATGTCACTGGTCCTTCATCAACAAAGATGTTTTTGTTGCTCCAAGGGACAGTGTCCTTGTAGTTAGAGGTTACCAATATAGTGATTTATCAATTTACTTGAGTTTTAGTGTTCTCTCTCCATTATTTAACTGTAATCATATCAGCACAATACATGGTATACAATAATAGATTATCAAATTCTACTTTTCATCTTGCAAAAACCAGCATAAGATGAGATACAATCGTCCACTATCTAACCTTTAGTACCCACTTCATCTTTTGTACCAAGTCTATCCTAAAGAAATAAAATAATTATGCAACTACACAGATTGTGTGAAAGTTGTATTTAACCCTTTAATCAAAAAACTTTTAAAAGATAGACAAAAAATTATCAAAACAGATATCTGCGATAAGATGAAATCAAATTGCAAAAGCAACAAGTTAAAGTATGGAACATTAAAAAAATTAATAAGAGCTAAAAGAGTAGCGTGCCTTAAGAAGAGCAAGCAAATGCAAGTCAATTTCCCAATCGAAAAAGCAACAATTTGATGAAGCAATCAACCCACTGGTTACTTTATATGATACTAATCCGTCAGCTTGACCAAGAATAAAATGTCTGGTTGCATGGGCCACTGGAGATGGATCTTCAACTGGGCCATGTGAAATTACCAAATGCTGCATTAACGTTGTGAACAAACATGACAGGAGTACATTTAGAGTAACCACAGCATATTTAAAAAACAACAGGTAAATTAATCCAGTTGAATTGACAACTGACCAGAAGTTTTTTAAGTAGTGATCCAACACCTCTGAGCTTATTTGATGGAACACTTGTCCCTTTAGCAGTAGCAGAAAGGCCACCAAGTATCGATAAGATTTCACACTGGTAAAGAATAAAATTACAAGCAAGGAATATTAATATTGTCTCAGATATAAAACTGCACAAGAAAAAATGCACAACCAACTTCAGATGGCATACCTCATATCTTGAAATAACTTCATAGAACCTAAGTCGATGAAGGATACAAGTTGCTAGAGACGCAACATCATGTCGTGGTTCTTGTAGTAACAACTTTAACAAGTGACTGTAACCATCACTAATGCCAGAAGGGATATTATCATCCTCACGAGGCCACCACCCAAGAAATCCTTCACATCCGACGGAATGTCGAGTAGCTTGCTCAATAACTCCAAGTAGCAACAATGTAATGGCAGTAGATTTCTGCGTCTGGTGATCAAAAAGATATGCAAGCTGATCCATTCCCCCACAGTTGACAAAGTGAAAGCAGCTCTCCTTACTAGAGCACAAGAAAAGAGCCACGTTCAACCCCAAGATGACATTTTCACTCTGTCAATCAAGATAAGCATATAAAAAATGGATGAGCTTTCATTTTGTACCGAGTAAGTTTATATCTTTGGTTCAAAAAGGAATGCGTATAAATAATATAAATAACAAGTAAAACAGCGTCTATCCAATTACCTCTGAGAGTTGGGGATGCCCAAAACTAGAGGAGCTTTTATTGAAATGGAAGAATGGTGATAACATTTCCACCAACTGTTTGGAAGAAGCAAAATCAGCATCAGGCTCTATAAAGATACATTCTGTCGATGATTCAGAGGATTCATTCATGGATTTACATTGAAGAGCCCCAAAGAGATCAAGTAGCTCCTTTCTGGCCTCACTTGTACCATGGTCCAATTCCTTAAAATCTTTTTTTCTTCCTGATGTAAGATGCTTTTGATCAATTGCATTAGAATCTAAGTCAAAGGTTATAAGTAAGGCAGCGGCTGATGCAACAGCACGAAGAATTTTATGCACCGCATAACCAAGGTTTGGCAAGTCCAAAATTTTCAACATTAGCTGTAGTAATTGCTTAACCTCTACTGATAAGTCCGGTGTGACTGCTGGTAAAGATAGAACATTTAATGAGGATAAAGATTCCTCAAATGTCCGATTAAATGAGCGTAATGGAAGAGGTAGGTCTTCAAGCTTTCCGTCAGCAGAGCTAACAAGATTGGTTAGAGAGTTATCATCAAATTCAATGTTGAACTGCCCCAAATCCTCTGCTGTATTTCCATATATGACCAAGCTTAAACTCCGGTAGCTACCTCTTACAACCAGATGATTGGTTACAACTGCCTGCAGAAAATCACAGTACAATTTTAAACAAATTGGATGTTTGCATATAGCTTCCACAATATAGAGGCACACCGCAATGGACAGCTAGGAAGCATGAAATATTTTTAAATAAATGAGATATTATTACAAATAGGAGATGAGACAATTAATGGAACTGAAAATATCCAGGATTAACCATATGCAAGGAATATTACAAGGATCGCTATTTTATACTAAAGTTGCTAGAATGTTCTTTGCACTCAACAAACTGTTTAAATGCATTTTGTATAAATCAAATTGTTGATGCTAGAAAATGCCAGAAAAAATTAATAATTCGTTCTTTATTAAACATTTTATCATGCACCAATAAACCTATAGACGTGCATAAAAGCATACATATAGATACAAAAGTAGGCTTATATAAACCACAACAAAAGTGACACAACATAAACCAAAAAAAGTGAAATTTAGAATTCAAATCCCAAAGGCACGAAATTGTAGAATCACCTCAACTTCGAGCACATTTGATGAAGAATGGGAATATAAAAAAGGCTGACAGAGGCGCCTAAATCTTGTCTCTCCCTCACTCTGAACAAACACCTCCAAAGCAAATGAAGGGGGTGAAGTGGCCCTGTACAAATTGCATAGATAAAGATTTCCAAAACCCCAAACCTCAATATTCCAATAATTTAGAAGCCTCATAGACAAAATTATGAAATTGCATAGCTTAAAATAATGTATATCTTTTCTAATACCTTGCCACTAACCCGAACATTGGAACACATGATGAAATTTGCATTAATACAACAACACCTCATACTAATGAAACTATATACAAAATAACATAGCTGTGATGCACCCATTATTGTTTATAATCAACAACGTTGCAGATTTTGAATTATCATTTAACAGATTCAACCTCCACACTCCTAGCTTGACTCGATGAAATTGTCTCTGGTATGATGCATGGGTTTGAAAGCACTCAATCTAGAACATGATAAAGCAGGAAAAAGAGAACTCAACTTCCTCACTTATTGAAGAACCCATGATTGCTTGAGGTGAATTAGTCGAGTTTGATCCTAACTCCCAAGTGTATAAGAGAGAGGTTGCTTTTAGGTATGATAAAGGTAGATGATCATAACTTTCAATTTCATAAGAGAAGCACGAAAGGTGGATGAAAGGTATGCCAGCTTTATTCTTGCCTTTCCTTAGCGGGGATTTTGGCAGAATTGGGATTTGATTTTTAAGGCGCTTTTGATAGGATGGTAAGGTTAAAGAAGAGATTGCCAGGAAATGAAGAAAGGGAGAGAGAAAAACATTGTCACTCTAGAGAAAAATTGGACAAAAGCAGAAAAATGAAGAACCGGTAATCAATAAATGAATAGAAGAAAGTGAAGCGTCATCTAAACATATTACAACAAATCAATCAATTTATCATTCAACAGTTCTTTTCCTTAAATTTATTTTGGTTCACACCTAAGGACTAAGGAGGAACAAGCCCCTCCTAATTAAACTCTCCTTACTAGTCCTATTATCTTCCTGTGATTTCCCTACAACTAAACGTAACACTGGTGCCAAATTCAAATCTCAACGACTTAACTACATCATACCAACAAAACAACATATTATATTTCATGGACGGGTAAGCCAATTTTATCCATACTTCCCAGCTTCTAATGGCCCATAAGTTATGTGCGTAGAACAAAATGATAGCACCACTATTATCATGCAAATAAATTCTCAAGAGAAAAATAACCCCAGAAACTGTAGAAAGCTCACTAGCTCAACATACCCAACAAGCGATACAGCTTGAGAAGCCGAGGACGCATTCTGTTCTAGGAACTCACACGCAGTTATAACAACTGGTTCAGCAAACAACACCTGAGAAAAAACGAGACAATAAAATCAAAACACAAACCGAAACCCATAAATCATTTTTCCAAGAAAATACAATACCCCTCAATCAATAAACCAAAACACTTCCGATAAAATCCTGAATCACCACAAATAATTTACTATTTAATTATTCCTCGCTAACCCGATCCATACAAAGCCCAAAAGTAGAGAAAGAACCCACACTGAGAAAAAGACTTACCTCGTCGACGTATTCGTCCAAGTGAGTGTGGACGAAAGTCTGAGAAAACAGAACGCAAGGCTCGGGTCGACCCATTTTGGCTTGGGGGTCTTAGTTTATCGATCTTCGGGTCGATTAATGAGGGGACATGAAAACTTGAAGAAAAATTTCTGGATTTGGGATTGATTAGGGTTTGGGATTTGATTTCTAAAACCCCGCCGCCGGTTAAAGAGTGTTGGGTTCTAGTTGAAAGGGGGTTCAGTTTTTGTTTCGTGGCCGAACCAGACCTTGAATATGAGAGGGAAGGAGGAGTAAGAAAAGGTTTTACTCGAAACTTCAAAATTTTAACTTTGTTTCTAATTTGGTCCTTTTAACTTTAAATTTATTGAATTATTTGTAGACACGGTTAGATGATAATATAAAGAGAAAATAACTTCAGTGACCGAAAATACCTTATAATATACGATTTTAATCAATTTTTTTGGATTTGCGAAAATGACCAACAAATTCGCAACGCGAACTCCAATTTCGCAACTCAATTTCCAAATTCGCAACGCGAATTTGTAAATCGTAACACAGAAGTCAAATTCGCAACACAGAAGTCAAAGCGCGTTTATTTTCGCAATATTAATTTCGCAATATTAATTTCTCAACACAAATGTAAAGAGTATTATCGCAAATCATAACCTAAAACCCTAAATCACAACTCAGTCTCATCTCCATCTCTCACTCTCTACGGCAACATCCGTCCCCATCACCGACATAATCCGTCCCCATCTCCAACGAAATCCGTCTATCTCCATCTCTCATAGTAACCCTCACAACCATTCATGATCAGAAATGGAAAATCTATCACCGAGGGTTAGTTTTTTTAATCTCTTATTTTTATTTTGAAATTTTTGTATTATTATTAGATTTTTCTTATATTGATGATAAATTTACTGGTAATTTCAATATATAGATTAACCATTTCACTTAGATTGCTTAGTAAATTCATTCGGTTGCTGCCAATACTGCTAAACTGTTTAGTCTTTAACCTTGTGAAGTTAGTATTTGTCTTTGTTTTGTCTTTTTGTTGAAGAAATGCAATTCATTCAAGTTTCAATTTGCAGAAGAATAGTTTTTGAAACTTAAATTCGCAACACGAAAATGAAAATTGCAACGCAAATTTAGTTTCGCGTTGCGATTTTCATTTTCGCGTTGCGATTTTCATTTTCGCATTGCGAATTTAAGTTTCAAAAACTACTCTTCTTCTGGAAATTGAAACTTGAATGAATTGCATTACTTCAACCAAAAAACAAAGACAAATACTAACTTCACAGTGTTGCGAATTTAAGTTTCAAGAATAAACTACTACTCTTTATGTTGTCCTTGAACATGCACTAAACTTATATGTTGTCCTTTTAAATGTTTTATAAGTGCTTACTTCTAGAATGTTATCTGATGCATTTTGTGAACTATGATGGAATAATGACTTGGGTGAATATCGTGCTAGTTTGAATTATATTTGGCTTTGTTTTCACTGTTTAATATCATGTCTGTTTATAGTGTATAATTTGTAGTTTTTGGTATATCTAACTTGGTATGTTTATTGTTTTTGTAGAAATTTTTTTCGGCTCAATTGACCTTAAGGAATAAATTAAGCCTAGTCACTAAAATTGCGTCGACGCTTACACCTCTACAAAGAAAATTGTTTGAGGATACTTGCTTCGGGCCATGGCTGAAAGTACAACATCCGGGTGGAGATGCTATGTTGACACATTTGTTTCTTCAGACCATGACTAACGATCTACCCGAGAGGATACAACGTGGTGATGAAGAGATATGGTTTCATTTTCCTCCGGCGTATACTTGTTTTGGGCGGGAGGAGTTTTGCTTAATCACTGGTTTACGCTTCGGACACGATGAAGTAACCCGGTACACTAGTCATATCTCCCGCCCATCATGGTTATCTCGGGTTTTTCCTGAGCTGGCATAGTCGAAGCTGAGTTTACACGTCGACGACTTGAAGAGATTATTTGTTAAAGATGCTTTACTCGGATGGATGACATTGATGTTGTCCGAGTATGCCATTTATTACTTTTGCATGCCAGCTTTTTAGGCAAAAAGGACAGACAATCTATTTCTGAGGACCTAATATTATTGGTAGAGGACCTAAATGCATGGAACTTATTTCCGTGGGGTTCATATCTATGGAAAGCTACCTGGAATAAGTTGTCGTCTGCCTTTGAGGACCGAAAAAGTTTGCGGGGCGATGGTTCTAAATACACTTTGACAGGCTTATTTGGGCCTTTAAGGTAAGAATTTCTATATAATGTTTCCAAATTTATAATTAATTATTTAACAATTACTGATGTTTGTGTATTATATTGTTTGTAGATTTGGATATTTGAGGCTTTCCCCAGCATGCAGACATATGCGATAAAAAATTCAAATGATGTTGGATTGGGAAGAGTTACAACCATATATGACGATGAATGATGTAAGTTAACACACAAATACTACCATATATAAACAAGTTATAACTAGTACACGTTTAACTTTGTTTGAGCTTTTATATTGTTAGGAGGCCAACTATCCATTACATAGGCTGACACCCACAGAGGCTGAGCTTGCCACTGATTGGTGGCAAGCTAGTAAACAGTTTTTTTGATGAGACGGATTATGAGCACCCCCTACTTCGAGAGCCATCACCTAATCGGGCCAATTCTACAGCTCGACACCCGGAGCCATCACCTGATCGAGCCTCTTCTCTACCTCCACCATCACTTATTCCATCACATCATCGAGCCTCTTCTCCACCATCACCTCATGATAGGCGACCGATAAAGAGGCCACGACATTTATCTCCCTGTTCTCCACCTCCACAGGATGAGTTAGGGGAGTTACGTGATGAGGTCGATGCTTTGCGTCATGAGGTCGGTACTTTACGTGAAGACAATGGTGCGCTACGTGATGAGGTACGGTATTTACGTGGTGAGGTGGATGTTTTACGCGATGACAATGGTACGCTACGTGGTGAGGTATCTACTTTACGTGATGAGGTAGCCGCTCTACGTGAGATTGTTTTATCGTTGCAGAATGAGGTTCATACTCTACGCAATGAGGTAAATTTGTTTAATACTATACTAAAAATGCAAATAACCTTTTTTCGACATTATTTATTTATTTATTTATTTACTGATTTATGTATTAATTTATTTTCAGTAGCCTGATAAGGTAGATGCTTTACGTCGGGTTTTTCTTGCACGACGGGGTTCACGCATCAGACGTCGTACACATGCCATTACGTCTCCTTTCACCCCACTAGTGCCAAGACTCCGTAAGAAGAAGCACGATGCACATGTCATCATTCAAGAGGCACCTCCTATCATTCAAGAAGCCCCTCTCATCGTTCAAGAGGCCCCTCCCACCATTCAAGAGGCCCCTGTCATCGTTCAAGAGGTCCCTGTTGAAAACATTTTGATGTTTCGATATAAAAAATTAAGTGTTAATTAATTTTAAGATTTTCTTGAATTATATATTCGATTAAATTATTCGAATACGAAAATTATTACTCCAAGTTTTCAAAAGTCTATTTCAATCCTTACTCAATTGTAAAATTAAGTTTCAATCTTAAAATATTTTTGAAACAATTTTTACAAAGTATTTCGAGCCATATTCAAGCCAAAAATAAAAATTATTTAGTATGGTATCGATACCCCCTATAGGGTACCGATACCCCTGTGAACACTTTGGTTCCGAGAAATAACAAAATGCTCTAAAGGTATCGATACCCCCCATAGATATCAATACCCCCATGCAATGGTATCGATACCCCTCAGATGGTACCGATACCCTAAGGCATATAACGGTCGAAATATTTGAATTTTACACTACAGGTACCAATACCCTATGAAGGGGTACCGATACCCCGTACGCTCCAAGCTGTTTTATTAATTATTTTCACACTCAAATAGCTCCATTGACTCCATTAATCATCCCCAACGTTCATAATCATTTGAAGGTGTATTTAAACAAGCTTAGAAGCCATTGATCAATAATAAGAAACAACAAGCAATTAGAATCAAGAAAGAATCAAAGAGAAAGCATCAAACCTCATGTTTGAGCATTTTCAAGCCTATTTTTCATTCAATATTCATTTTGCTTTCAAGAACACTACTTGTACTCAATTGTATTCATTTTTTAGTGTTCTTTTCTTTGTTCTAGAATTGTGCAAACATCTTACCTTGTGAGTATTTCCTTGTAAGTTTGCAAATTTGTAATCTTCTCTTTAAGAAAGAGTGCTCTCAAAAATTGGGGTATATTCTTGAGGGAGTTGTAAGGTTATCTCTTTGGCCTCAAAAGAAAGAACAAATTAGTGAATTTGTTGGAAAATCCTTAGTGTGGATAGCTAAGGTAGTGGACGTAGACTTTGGTTGAGAAAGTCGAACCACTCTAAATCGTTGTGCAATTACTTTCAATTTTCTGCAAAAGCTTCCACCAAAATTTTAATTGCCAATTCACCTCCTCTTGGCCGATTCCGTCGATCGATTAACTCAACAATTAGTATCAGAGCCTCACTCATTTAAAGGTTTAATCGCCTCTTGAGTCGATTCGGAAAGAGTTACATCGATAATCAAGTCATCAATGGCCTCCACTTCAAACGTCAACTCCGGTCTCAATTCGATGCCCGTCAACAAGCCGTCTTTCTTCAACGGATCTAACTATGCCTATTAGAAGAATAGGATGATGTATTTCATTCAAGAAAGTGACATGGGAGTATGGAATGTTGTAGAAGACATATATATCAAGCTTCTCACTTATCCAAGATTGTGGAGCGAAGGAGAGACGAAAATGTTCCAGCTCAACTCCAAAGCCATCCATATCATATTTTGTTCTCTTGGACCAGATGAATATGGAAGAGTTTCATCTTGTACAACCGCCAAAGAAATATGGGATAAACTACAAGTCACTCATGAAGGCACCGACGAGGTAAAAAAAATCTAAAATTAGTCTTCTAACACATAGCTATAAAAATTTCAGGATGAAACCAAATGAAGATATCAAAGCTATGACGGATAGATTCTCAACGATTGTCAATGGTCTCAAATCATATGGAGAGATCATTCCAAACGAGAAGCTTGTGAGGAAGTTAGTTTACTCACTTCCAAAATCGTGGCAATCCAAAAAGACGGCAATCATTGAGGCTAAGAACCTAAAGTCCTTAACTCTTGAAGACCTAATCGATTCCCTCCTCACTAATGAAATGATGCTTGAAGATGAGGTGGACCTCGATAAGATTGAAGAGACACCAAAATAGAAGGAGAAGAAGAAAAACATTGGAGTTGCTCTCAAATCC